TCGAGGTGAGTAGTCTGGTCTGCACCGCTGCACGCCTGGTTCTGGTTCTGGTCCAGCGTGTCCAGGTATGAAATCGACAATCGTCAATCGTGTGTGAGTGTGTCGTCGTGAATGAAAGGCTGGTGAGTGGTGAAACCGTAGCCAATCGTGCGGTGCCCTTGCTGCAAGTGAACGCAAGGCTGTTTCCAGATTGGGCCAAATGGAACTATATTAGAATTATAGAATAGACGGGCTGTAAAATTTAGGCCCCAAAACATTGGGGGCCCTGTTCTGAATGACACATTTAACAGGCCCATGGACGGCCCTTGATACTATAATTGATTTGGTTCATCTCAGTACACCTTATTAGTGTTGATCTTTAATTAAGATTGATTCAAGGTTAGAAATCTATTCTTACAATTCTCACAAGAACCCAACCCTTACAGATAGCATATATGATGTGGATTTTGTACAATACCAAATTTTTTTCCATAATACTATGGACCAATCAATTATAACTAGTAGATACAATTTTGTACAGTCTACTAACCCAGTTGTATTTGGTACCAACATTTTTTGTTTGGTATCGATTTTGTACCAACTTCAAAGTACATATATTAAATATATTACTTAATTCAATTTTTGAGTAACATTTAAGTTTGCAGGTAACACATATTATATTTAAGAGTTCTGATTACAAGAAATAAGACCAGCAAACATTCATTTACCCAAACTAAAAAGTCGGTGATACAGAACTTAAAAATCAATAACGATGCTTTAAAATTAATATAATTAATAAACAATCAAATAAGTAAGTACCATAATACTACATAGTACATCACTTTCAATATCGTGTATACACAAAGTTTGCATACTTGATACGATACTACCAATCAATTGTAATCAGTACTAACTAAATTGATACGGTTGGTATACATATCGACTAGTTGGTTCGATACAAAATTACCATCCCTACGCATACGCCCTTGCGACCTCAAACCGCGCCCTCATCCTTTAGGTTGTTGAACTTTACAAGGAAATTTAAGTATTTAAGAAAAAAAATTATTTTAATAATATAATTAATGTTAAAATCTTTAAAATTAAATAGCTGTTGAAGTTGAATGTGAATTCTTTTTATAAATTTTGACTTTTAATGATGTATTTTAAAAAAATTATAAATATCTATCGGTGTATTAAATGCTATTGCAACAAACCACTAAAGTTGTGTTGAAAATTTAATAAGAAAGAAAGAATGTGATTCCATTGCATGGGTCATCCTCATCCCTAATATACGGCAAAAAAACACTTTTTTCTTTAATTCAAAAAGAAATAAAAATCTTCTTGTGGCTACGGAGGTTTAAATATGGTGACTCTAGACTATCTGCAAAGTAGGTGGTTGCTTGAGATTAGTCGGCTCGCATAGCGAGTTGGATATTCAGGTTAATAAAAAAAACAATGTTTTTCCAAAAGGTTACAAATAAAAGTTCACATCTTATAATTCATTTTTTAATCAAAAAATCTTCGGGACTGTTTGGCAGTTATTGAATGATCTGGTGCATAATGATTAAGTGGGCAGAATGATTAAAAAACTCTCATGATATAGTGCAAAATAAAATATAATTATGTGGTGATTATTTACAACGAAATTGGGGTGCTGAATGGGTTTTTAATTGTGAGTTTTACCTTAAAAGCTTCATTTTATATGGTTTTAATAAGTAACCGTATGATTTCATACTTGGGTGTTTTTGAACGATTATGTACTATTTTTAGTATGATGGTGAGTTTAAATTCATCAACTTCCTTATTTGGTATTTTAAAATTCGAGTCGTATTGTTCTTACATGGGGTTGATGATAAAACAGTTTTTGGACGCTATTTTAGCATGATGGTGAGTTTTTGTTTAATTTTTTCCTTATTTGAGAACTGGGTATAAGAACTGCATGGTTCTTTATATGAGATTTTGAGATAAAACAGTTTGATGTCATTATTAGCAAAATTGTGGATTTTTATCATGATTATATCATGTGTGAAAATAAGGGTGATATATCAAGGAGGTGAGTATATTAGGATAAGAATGACATAACCAATTTCTGGAAATGATGATCTTTTGATCATGAGTATTGTTATCACATCAGTGTGATGTGATAACTTTGTGTTGTCGCATCTGTGTGATGCAATAACTTTGAGTTGTCGCATCCTCTTAATACATCTGGGTAGCCTTCTATTAGGATGACCTTGCGATTGAGATGACCTTTTACTGGAAGGGTCTTGCTTTTGGGTGGCCTTCTATTGGGATGACCTTGTGATTGAGATGACCTTTTACTAAGAGAGTCTTGCTTCTGGGTGGCCTTTTACTGGGATGACCTTGCGATTGAGATGACATTTTACTAGGAGGGTCTTGCTTCTGGTTGGCCTTCTACTAGGATGGCTTGCTTTTGAGTGGTGTGTATAATGTGATGAATTTGGAATGGATGAAATGAGTTGTGAAATCTAGGTTTTTGATTACATTCATATTTATCGCATCCTATAGATATGATGAAGTAAACTTGTTGAGAAAATTGTATGAATTTCTATGTCATGCGACAAGTTTTACCCATGAAGTATTTTTCAAGATACCAAAGGGCCTTCGGCCTAGTGGTATCGTAGCCTTTGGCTTCCTAGGAGGTCAAGGGTTCAAACCTCACCAAAGGTGAAGAGGGTGTGTGAGTTTATTTGTTGCATTTGTCGTATATAAATATTATATACTTCAAAAAAAAAAGTATTTTTCAAGATACTGGGTATTTGAATAACTCTGAACTCAAGATCTTTAGATTTCGTCTTCAGATTTGACATTTAGGCGCTTTTCGGGTCTTCTCTTCAAATAACTCTGAAAAATGACTCTTCAAACTTATACTTGTACGCTTGAGAAGCTCACCCAAACTCTGAAGTCTTATTATTCAGATCTCTGAAGTTAAGTCTGCAGATCTAGTCTTAGTCTTGTAAGCACAATTCAAAAATCTGAAGATAAGTCTACTGACTTCCATATTTGGCCCATATTGCTTTAATAAAACTTTCATGATATTTAGGAAAATTTTGGTATTAACGGTTAGTATTACAAATATGGATTTATAAACTTGATTTGATGATTTTCACCCTATAACTGCATAAAGGAAATTTCTCACTAGAGCTCAAAATATAACCCTCATTTTGGTGTTTTAAAATATGCATTACAGGTCAAGTAACCAGTTGATAAGGGGAGAAGGAAATTTATGAAGAAATATATGATTACCTGCATATGGATTTTGGAATAATGTGTTGTTACTTGTAACTGCATGTTGTTTATGAGTACAAGTTTTGTATAGAGGTTTTGTGGAAAAAGTTGGTAGCTACTTTTATAATGTAGCTTTTGTATGCAAGATTTTTTCTACATGTTTGAATACGAGAATAGAATTGAACTACTTTATTTATAACCCTTTTTGGAAGTTTTGAAAAATACAAATATGAAAATCGAATAATACCAAACAATTGACGAGAGGAGCTAATAAAAGATAACATGTTGGGTCATCGACATGACCCATCAACCCACTTCCCACCATATCTCAAATCATCTATATTGACTAACATACGTAGATATTGCCTATAAGACCATTCACCGAATACAACCATATGCAATTGTTGATGTCGAAGAAACCTATTACCGCACCACCGGCACAAAAACAAACCAAAATGAATTTCAAACACCGCCCCATCACAATCTAATTGTCACTGAAAATTAATTGAAATACGACTTCAAGACGCCAAATGAACCAAACATTAAAATCAGTAGTTCAGTAGATACTGCAAAAATAAATAAATTGAGGAATGATCACTTACAATGAACAATATTGTCAAGTTGAGAACTCTAAACCAAACGATGACATAAGACCAACCGATGATTACCGTCACCTAAAAATCAATCATAGCCAAGACAAAGTAAGACGTCAAAAGAAACATAATGACTTTTTGAGTGTTTAGTCAAACGACGACTAAAGATGATGAAGTTCAAAACAAAATGATTAGTGATGGAATTTTTTGTACAAAAAAGTTAGTTAAAGACTTGTGGAAACCGTTGAAAAGTAAAGTTAGGATAAAATCTACACGTTGTGAATAAAAGGATTTATGTTACCTTCTAGAACACTCCATTGATCACTATATCAGTCTCATAATCATCATAGAAAAAATAAATCATAATGTTTTAAAATAAACCAAGCAGAATTATATTCGAACCGACAACTTATTGTGAAAACCTCATGTCGTTTCTACTAAAATATAACATAAAAATATAAAGGTGAAGGCTAGATTAATTATAGCCAATAGATGAGTGGTAGAAGTCATCTTAACATTCTCTACCTTCACCTATGGCCATCATCACTTCTCTTTTTGAAAGTACACATTTTGACCCACATACAAATCCCCAATTGCATTTATCTATACTGCATTATAAATTATTTGATAAAAAAAAATTAAAAAAACCATTTTTATGAATGAAATATTATTTATTGATCTTTATTATTTAAAATTCAAAATTACAAGTAATTTTGCATAAGTACAACTTATTAAAGTTTCATTTTTAAATTCGTGTAACTAACTGCAGATAAACATAATTAAATATATGATAAACATTCATTTTATATATAGAAAATCCAAAATATAATTAAGATTATTATTGAGTTCTAACAGAATGTTTATTATTATCTTTATAGAAAATTATATTGTTAAATCGAAAATAAATTACTTTGTTATTAAATTTAAATTAAATTATAATAAAAAATTGAATTAATGAAATTACATAAAAAAACGAGAACTATTAAATAATTAATTTGATACTAATATCGATTCATTTTTTCTCAAACTTTTATGGTATCTTCAAATTTATATTCCATTCAAAAATAAAAACATTATCGCTTTCTCAAAAACATTATTATATTGATAATAAAAACTAAATATTAAAATCGAGATTTATTTCGCTGCATTGTGTGAATACCTTTCTAGTATATAAAAATAAATAAATAACTACTACGTTTTAAAATAATTGTCAATATTAACATTTTTAGTTTGTTTTTTTTAAATTAGATATTTATTTCTTTATCCTACCTTTAATCATGAGATGTATTTTTTTTTTCCTTTTATAACTAAAGATAAAATCTTTTTATTAATTAAAAAGTATAATAATTATAGATTTTTATTTGTATGCTTTTTCATTTATTTTAGATCGAAAGATATAATTATTTAATTATGGTTTAAATAAATCTTATTTTAATATGTAGATTTTTCAAAAATAAAAACACCAAGATCTTTATGAACACACAAATCCTCTATTTGATGAATCAAAGTCAAATATAAGTTTTTTATTTTAATAAATTTTCTTCATCGTTTTCATATTCTTATCGAATTAAATAGGCATTTAGAGATGTATTTTTGGTAAATTCAGTGCACATAAATCCAATATATATATATATATATATATATAGGGTTGGGTTCACGTTAGACCCAAGGTTTTTCGTGAGACCCGTAAGACTAACTTATGTTCATTGATCAACTTTATAAGCTAATGATCTAATGGCAATTTTGTGATTATGAATGTTTAGATTGTAGATTTAATCTAAGGGTTGAGAATTGGTCTTATAGGTCTCATGAAAAACTCTTATTCTCACGTGATCCCAAGTCTATATATGTACATGTGTCGTGCGTCTGTGTACTTGACGACATCAATTGAAGATAATATATTAACAACAACAATAACCATTTATTATTCATATTTCATTTTGAGAAAGAGAACTTTTAAATATAATATTTTTGTTGACCATATTCATTTTATATTATTCAATTCATTCTAGATTTATGACATGTTGATTATATAAGCTGATATACGTACACATATATGTATCTATATATTCTCTTTTTGGGTCATGAGTTCACACCCACACGTTTTGACCTCTATAAATTCACATCCTTCATATATGTATCTATTTGTATATCGTTTCCTCAACTCAAGAACCATGTCTCGAGCCACCATCGTCTTCCTCACCCTTATGTTTCTCATCTTCTCTTCATTCATGTCCGCCGAGGCCCGCCCGTTGACCACTCTTTCCGATTCCACCACCACCGCCGCCACAAAATCACTAAATAAGGTACACCCAACTCTCCTGATTTTTTTTATTAACCTGGATATCCAACCCGCTATGCGAGCCGACTAATCCCAGAACGACCACCTGCTTTGCAGATAGTCCGGAGTCACAACATTTAAACCTCCGTGGCCACAATGGGATTTTGTTCCCTCCTTGGATTTGAACTTGATTTTTTTAATCAAAAGTATATAACGTTTATGTATATACGGCAAATATTCATGCACATTTTTTAATCTTTGTTGAGGTTTCAACCTTTAACAGACTGGCTCTACCAGTTCCCAAGTACTGTTGGGCCAATGACCCTTGTTCTTAATTTAATTCACTTGCATCATCAGTTAATGTCGAATTCTGGTATTAAAAGTTCGTTTTCTTGTAGGGTTTTGTTGAAGAAAGTTGCCAAGGGGTCGGGAAAGAGGAGTGTTTGATGAGGAGGACGCTTGCTGATGCTCATCTTGACTATATTTACACCCAAGATAAAAACCCTTAGATAATTTGTGTGACGGTTTAGATATCATCAAGACGTTTGGTGTTTATTTTCTTATTACCCTTATTAGCATGTAGTTTGTGTACATGAAAAAAACGATAAAAGGGAAATGAATGAATGCGTATTAATTTGAGTTAGTTTGCGTTTTTGAGTTAAATTATCGTTTGACAACGTTTTAGTTTCTGATCATGTTTAAAAAACCACTTTGACACTTGTTTATGATTTAAAAAGAACTAAAACTTGATTTACCAAGTTTTATAAATTAATAATTGCAAATAAGACGAATGATCGTTTGAGAATGGAAGTTATGCTGAAAACCGCAAAAAAAGATTTACACCCTTGATCACTTGCAAATTGCAATCCCACTTCCACCCATGAATTGCTCTTGATACGAGAATTGATCTGGTCCATCTCAGTACACTTCATTAGTGTTAATCTTTAATTAAGAACGATTCAAGGTTAGAAATATATTCTTACCATTCTCACCAGAACCCAACCCTTGCAAATAGTATATATGATGTGGATTTTGTAGATACCCATTTTTTTCCGTAATACTATGGACCAATCAATTATAACTGATAGGTAAAATTTGGTACAGTCTACTAACCCAGGTGTATTTGGTACCAACATTTTTCGTTTGGTATCGGTATTTTACCAACTTCAAATTACATATATTTTTAATTCAATTTTTGAGTGTCATTTTAAGTTTGCAGGTAACATATATTATATTTAAGAGTGTTAATTACAAGAAATAAGACTAGCAAATATTCATTTACCCAAACTAAAAAGTCTGTGGTACAGAACTTAAAAATCAATAACGATGCTTTACAATTAATATAATTAATAAACAATCAACTAAGTAGGTATCGTGATACTACATAGTACATCACTTTCAATATCGTGTACAAACAAAGTTTGCATATTTGGCACGATACTACCAATCAACTGTAATCAGTACTAAATAAATTGATACGGTTGATATACATATTGACTGGTTGGTTCGATACAAAATCACCATCCCTATGCACACGCCCTTGCAAGCTCAAACCCTCATCCTTTGGGTTGTTAAACGTTACAGAGAAATTTTAGTATTTAAGAGAAAAAAAATAATATTTTAATAATATAATTAATGATAAAATCTTTAAAATTAAATAACTGTTGAAGTTGAGTGTGAATTCCTTTAATATATTTTGACTTTAAATTATATATTTTCAAAAAATTATAAATATCAATCAGAGTATTGAATGCTATTGCAACAAACCACTAAAGTTGTGTTGAAAATTTATAAGAAAGAAAGAATGTGATTCCATCCTCATCCTTTATTCAAAAAGTTTTAGAATCATTAAGATGTAAACTTTTTTTTTTGTCAAACAAGATTCATCTCTTAACGATTCAGAGACTGTCTCTTAATGGAACTATTAAGAGGTAAACAAACAACCCTTCAAGTATTAATCAATCATCAACAAAAAATGACATGAGTCTTATTGAGAAATGGAATTATTTCATTTAGTGGGGTCGGGTCCAATATCAATTATGGGATAAGAAGTTACTTTTCATACATTTTCCACATTAAACGAACTAAAATCTTGAGCACATCCCATCGGGGAATTAATGGTTGGTCCCCAAGACAATGACAATATTGAAATATCAAACCGAAACAAACTCTGGTTTGGTTGTTTCCATCGGTTCTTTGTCGGTATCAGAACATTACAAACATAATTCAATGTTGAGGTGTCTTTCGTTCGATTATTAAAGTAAGACCTGTTTAGACAGCAATTAAAGAAAATAACTTTGAACGTAAGCAATGCTTGTTCGTATTCTTTTGTTCTTAAAGCAGAAGATGATGTCGTATGCTTTGAATATGGTAGTAAATAAATGCGTAATTTATATAACAAGAACTTGAAAACAATATTCTAATTCTGTAGACAACTTTGAATTTGGCAGGTAGTAATGAAATCAACTTGTTGCTTCAAATCATTTGGTTGATCCTTGTTGACCAGATCAAAAGATTGCAGAGTTCAGAGCATATCAAGCTTCTAAAGTTCACATTGATGAAAACAAAAATTAAAAATGAATTCATAATAAATAGAAATATCTAAATGTTTTAATAGACTACTTTATATCTGAAAGTGTTGCAATAAGTTTATATGACGTTTAACAAGTTTTTTATATGATATTTTTAAAATAAAATACAAGGAGGAATAAAAATCCCCTTGTGGCCACGGAGGTTCAAATGCGGTGACTCCGTGTTATACGCAAAGCAGGTAGTCGTCTTGAGATTAGTTGACTCGTATAACGGGTTGGATATCTAGGTTAATAATAATAATAATAAACATCGTATTAGCTATTTTATAGGACGCTATTTAAAAAATGTCTTAAAAAAAGGAGTGAATTATGAAATATGGTCCCTGTGTTTTGATGTATTTTTTGATTAGGGTCCTTATGGTGTGTTTATTGTGGTATTTAATTTGTCTTGGTTATGGTCCTTCTAACTTACACCGTTAAAATAAATCTGTTTGATCAGTTAAATCAAAGACCATTTTAGTCTTTTTGCCTATTTCTATATCTTATTTCTATATAAACAAAAAGACTAAAACAATAAATCTAAATCATCTTTAATATAATTAATTATTTGGTTAAACAAATCAAATAATAAAATAATATCTTATTTATTTATTTTGATAATTATACATATATATGTGTGTGTATGTATGTCAAAATATTGTTTTTATTTTTTATAGGAAAAAAAGACCAAAAATAGGCACAAAAAAAAGAGACTAAAAAATGGTCGTTCATTTAAATGAGTTGACAAATTTAATTTACGAAATTAATCAGAGAAACCATGACCAAGACAAATTGAATACCATATTGACCAAAACCATAACAAACATACCATAGGGACCCTAGTCAGAAAAAACATCAGAACACATGACCAAATCCATAGTTCACTCTATAAAAAGATATGTTTATAGGTTATTTATTAAGAATGTAGTATGAAATAGCTAATATGATGTTCTATTTCGAAAATGTCTTAAAAAACTTGTTAAGATGTCTAAAAGCGTCCTATAAACTTATTACAATATGTTTATACATGACACTTTAATATTTCATCCTATAAACTTAAGATCTATAAAGTGATCTATTAGGAAACTAAACATTTTTGACATCCTATAAACTCGATTTTGTTGTAATGACGGTTTTTTCATCGATCTCTTTTATATTATATCATGTCTTGTTTTCATCGATCTCTTTTGTATTATATCATGTCTTGTTTTCATCTTTAAAGATTCTTAATTTTTTTTATGCAAAGATAAATAGACAAAAATGTGCCTTGAAAATAAAAACACAGTTCCACAATGCATGTTTTCTTGTATGTGTTGTAGTTCGCATGTAACTGGTAACATAACTAAGTTATGCTTTGAATTGTTTGATAATTCATTGTCGATTAACTCAGAAGGTCAAAACTTCACTGTGTTCCAAATTTCTAAGCTTTATTTTTTGTATATTGAGTATAAACCTTTTGTGTGCTTGATTGGTTTAAGCTTGGCTCCAAAGTACCAAGAGGTCTCAGGTTCAAATCTAAGGAGGAATAAAAATCCTTTTGTGGCCATGGAGATTTAAATGCGGTGACTTCGGGCTATTGCAAAGCAGGTGGTCGCCCTGAGATTAGTCAGCTTGCATAGCGGGTTAAATATCCAGGTTAATTAAAAAAAAAAAAAAACCTCTTGTGTGCATAAGCATGAATATGTCATTGCCTTTCACTTAATATATGTCGTTGTCTTCCAAACACTATATGTAGAACAGTAAAATGCAAGATTCTAAATAACTTTATAACCCTTTACCTCTCCTGTTTTAATTTTATGGTCTCGTTGCACGACACATAATCATGGAATGTTTTACTTTTTCTAATTGATTTTTTGAACATTATCGAATCTGTTCATTGCTACTTTTATTGACCAGATCAAATCAGATAAAATAAATCAATAATTGTCTGAAAAATATTTTAAAATATGTATTGTTGATGGTTCCTCCTTTAAATCTAATGGAATGAGCATATATACCTTGCATACTTGTGACATAATGTGTGTGTGAAGTAAACAAAACAATTAATTAATGAAACCAATTTTACATTTAAATTCTATTATTTATTTGTTTATTTTTGACATCTTGTTTTTTTTGTAAATATTTGCAACTTGCAAATGACAGGTTGAAAAAAATTGTATTTTAATATAATAATAAAAAATTAACATATAAAATATATGGAAAATTAAATGACACAATGCTTCTAGAGAATTCAAATATATATTATTTGTGGCAAATGTCATATGATGTAATAAAAGTATTACAAATACCAGATTCTTAGAGCATCTTTAACATATTCTTTAAAATAAAAAAAATAAAGATTTTGTTTTAATAAATCTTAATATTATTTTTTTTAAATGGAACAAATAAGGAAAACAAAATGATTTTTTTTAATTAATTTTCACCAATGGAATTAAATTGTTATTATTTTATATAAAGTTTTTCAAAAAGTCTACTAGGATAATAAAATTATAAAATATTTTAATACAATTCTTTAAATTAAGAATGTTGACTGAATTTTTTTAGAGATTTTTAACTTCTAGTTCTTTATTTAGAGAAATTGTCTATATTATATTATAAATCATTTGATAAAAATTTAAAAAAAATTATGCATAAAATCTATTTATTGACGTATATTATTTAAAAATTCAAGATTACAAGTTGATTGTGTATAAATATAACTTATTAAAGCTTCAGGTTTGAATTCGTATAACTAACTGCAGATAAATATCATCAAATACATGATAAACATCATTTTAAATATAAAAAATCTAAATTATAATTAAGATAATCATTGAATTCTAACATAATATTTAATTATTATCTTAAAGAAATTATTTTATTATTCAAAAATAAAAACATTTTATTTTTCTCAAAACCACATAAAATCGTATTATAACCTTGATAGATCCAAAATATAAAACGAAACACTAAAATCAAGATATATCTCGTTTCATTGTGCGAGTACCTTTCTAGTAGATAATTTATAAGTTTAGAGGACCAAATTAAAAAGGATACTATCTAAAAATGTTACAATAGGTTTACGTGACACTTTTGGGTATTTTTAACA